TTGATAAAGTATGAGTCGGAGATATGATTTCATGTCTCATTTGACCCTCAATTAACTCATGACCTCATCATAATGGCCTCCGAACTCAAAATTTCAATTTGCATATTATGACGTCATTATATATTTGGAAAATTGATTGTATCTCTGTAAATATTGATCAATTTTCTTTCAAATTTTAATATGTTCTAGCTGAGACAATTTACTACAAAAACATTCAATTCGACAAAGGAATCATGGCGTATTGTTGCGATTAAAGGAGGCATGTCAATTTTTCACTTTTTGTGTGTATTCTCTACGGGACATGACTTTTTCTCAAAACTGGATTCTACATCCCCGTCTTTCGCGAGCAATATCTCCGTCGTTTTAGCTTCGTTAAAAATGAACCATGAGTATGTTGTAGCTGAGACAAAAAGCTATTTCAAATGTACCCTTTATTTTGTCTCAATTATTTGTTGGATCAGCCCACCTATACTTGTTCCAAACAAGTATTACAAATCTAGTTATTAAATATTTTTCTTATTTCTAACCACTTTTTTGTTAGCAAGATAACTTGAAAATGGTTCGATTAAATGCCTTGAAATTTGGCACACATATGTATAGGCATATGTACAAAGCACAATAACGTTTTCAACATTGACCTTTACTGATGACGTCATCTAGGCGCCATTTTGTAAAATTTTCGGAAAATCAACTCATGATCATATCTTCATAACCGAAAGTTATTTCTCATTCATATTTATCGTGATCAAGGTCAATATCCGTCCGGCCAATTTCAGGTCAAAGAACGCGCGCGTGCGCGTACGTCCGCGCGTCAATGCGCGCGCAAAATTTTAAAATGCTCAAAATCGTCTCAAAATCATTTTGCATACGTTTTAGGCCATTCTAAGCATTTTATAAAAAATCGCGCACACGCGCATGCGCGCGCGTTTCCGCGCGTAAAACAATTACACAACATAGAATCGCCATTTTTTTTCTTTCATAATATTTCATATATTTTTACAAACAAATTGATACCATGTTCGTCTCTTTATGACTATTAATAACGGAATGATCGACCGTTTAACATAAGTTTCCGTGCGCGCGAGCTCTTGTAATACATAGCATATATGGGCAAAAACATGCCCATACAAAATCCATTGTAGCTCTTTAAGATGCAAAGTGACCCCAATTTTATTTCAGATTTTAATAGAGTATGATTCGGAGATATTTGTTCATGTCTCATTTGACCCTCAATTAACTCATGACGTCATGATAATGGCCTCCGAACTAAAAATTCCAATTTGCATATTATGACGTCAGCATATTTATGGAAATTGATTGTATCTCTGTAAATATTGATCGATTTTGTTCTAAATTTTGATATGTTTTAGCTGAGACAATTTTTAACAAATAATATAGTCACGATTTTTCATTTTGACAAAGGCAATATGGCGCATATTTGCGATTAAAGGTGGCATGTCAATTTTTCACATTTTGCATGTATTCTCTACGGGACATTACTTTTTCTCAAAACTTGGTTCTACATTTCCGTCTTTCGCGAGCAATATCTCTGTCGTTTTAGATTAGTTTACGCTGAACTTCGAGTATGTTGTAGCTGAGACAATAAGTTATCTTAAATGTGCCCTTGATTTTGTCTCAATTTTAGTTGGATCAGCCCACCTATACTTGTTCCAAACAAGTATTACAAATCTAGTTTCACATCTTTTCATCTTTAGAAGGTGTCTATGACCCTTATTCATTCACACATGTAATTGGAGATTATTTCATGAAATGTAGAAAATGGCCCTTTTTGACAAAAATGGCAAGGGGTTAGCCCCTCATTTTCGACAAAAATTATGAATTTTCAAAAAGGCCTATTTTCATATCTTTTCATCTTAAGGAGGTGTCTCTGACCCTTGTTTATTCAAAACATGTAATTGGAGATAATTTCATGAAATGTAGGAAATGCCCCTTTTTGACAAAAATGGCAAGGGGTTAGCCCCTCATTTTCGACAAAAATTATGAATTTTCAAAAAGGCCTATTTTCATATCTTTTCATCTTAAGGAGGTGTCTATGACCCTTGTTCATTCAAAACATGTAATTGGAGATAATTTCATGAAATGTAGAAAATGCCCTTTTTGACAAAAATGGCAAGGGGTTAGCCCCTCATTTTGGACAAAAATTATGAATTTTCAAAAAGGCCTATTTTCATATCTTTTCATCTTAACCCTTACTGTACTGGGGGGGGGCCTGGGAGGCCCCCCCCCCCTCGACATTTTCGGAGATTGCGCTGCAACCGCTTGGAATTTTGAATTGTCGTTTCATGACTTTTTTCCCTCAAGTCTTACGCACATTTTGATACCATTTTCGTCGAAATCGGATATACCTGTAAGGCGTTACATAACAATTAGTATGCGCATGTCATCAAAAAAAAAAAAAAAAAATGAAAATCGCATCAAAATTTGCATAAATTATCATTATTATTTACATTAAAATAACTTTTTTGTGTTAGAAAAGAAGTTTCATATGAATAATGAGTTTCAACATTCAAAAAGTGTAGTTTGACACGTTTTCGGTAAAATGCATAAAATTAGCGCATTTTGCATAATTAATTAGGCTAACGAGAAAAATTTGCATATTCGGAAAAAACTAATTATACCATCTTGTTCCTTACGTAAATATCTACAAACATGCAAATTTTCGTGTTCATCAGACAATCGACGGCCGAGATCATAGGGGGGGGGGGGCCTCCCAGGCCCCCCCCCCCCCCCAGTCAGTGGGTGCTCAAAATAGCCCAGTACAGTAAGGGTTAAGGAGGTGTATCTGACCCTTGTTCATTCAAAACATGTATTTGGAGATGATTATATGAAATGTAGAAAATGCCCCTTTTTGACAAAAATGGCAAGGGGTTAGCCCCTCATTTTCGACAAAAATTATGAATTTTCAAAAAGGCCTATTTTCATATTTTTCATCTTAAGGAGGTGTCTATGACCCTTGTTCATTCAAAACATGTAATTGGAGATAATTTCATGAAATGTAGAAAATGCCCTTTTTGACAAAAATGGCAAGGGGTTAGCCCCTCATTTTGGACAAAAATTATGAATTTTCAAAAAGGCCTATTTTCATATCTTTTCATCTTAAGGAGGTGTATCTGACCCTTGTTCATTCAAAACATGTATTTGGAGATGATTATATGAAATGTAGAAAATGGCCCTTTTTGACAAAAATGGCAAGGGGTTAGCCCCTCATTTTCGACAAAAATTATGAATTTTTCAAAAGGCCTATTTTCATATTTTTCATCTTAAGGAGGTGTCTCTGACCCTTGTTCATTCAAAACATGTATTTGGAGATGATTTCATGAAATGTAGAAAATGGCCCTTTTTGACAAAAATGGCAAGGGTTAGCCCCTCATTTTGGACAAAAATTATGAATTTTCAAAAAGGCCTATTTTCATATCTTTTCATCTTAAGGAGGTGTCTCTGACCCTTGTTCATTCAAAACATGTATTTGGAGATGATTTCATGAAATGTAGAAAATGGCACTTTTTGACAAAAATGGCAAGGGGTTAGCCCCTCATTTTCGACAAAAATTATGAATTTTTCAAAAGGCCTATTTTCATATCTTTTCATCTTAAGGAGGTGTCTATGACCCTTGTTCATTCTAAACATGTAATTAGAGATGATTTCACAAAATGTAGAAAATGCCCCTTTTTAAGAAAAAAGGCAAGGGATTTGCCCATTATTTTTTGCCTAAAATTAGGAATTTTTAAAAAGGCTTATTTTCACATCTTTTCATCTTTAGAAGGTGTCTATGACCCTTATTCATTCACACATGTAATTGGAGATTATTTCATGAAATGTAGAAAATGCGCCTTTTGGTCAAAAATTATTTAATTTAAATAGAAGGAATATAATAAGTAACATTTCATACAAAAATAAAATAATTTTTTCATTAACCTTCAACAATGTTAACTACTGAAAGACTTTAAAGGGAAAGTCCACCCTGATATATATAAAGTGAGTTTTAATAGGAGAATTTGTTTTTTTAAACGTCAGTGAAAGTTTGAGCAAACTAGATGGAACTTTGACTGAGTGCAGTCGAAAATGATGCATCCGCAATAGAGCGATTTCACAAACCAAAACAGAAGCAATTTTTCAAATTCCTAATTATAATCCATTAACAGGTTCTCAGAATATCATATTCTTTTTCATATAAATGTATGACCCTTTGATCTTTGACCTCATGACCCTAAAATCTAATCAGTTCATTGGCTTTGCAAGATACATACATGTCCTGCGTTTGATGGTAATCCGTCAATCGGTTCTAATGATGTGATCACAAGCTATTTATGCATACATAATGAGCCATGTGACCTTTGACCTTGTGACCCAAAAATCTAATCAATTCATTGGCTCTGCGAGATACATACACGCCCAAAGTTTGGCAGGAATCCATCAATCGGTTCTTGAGATAACGCGATCACGGGAACGGGACGTACAGACGGCCAACCCGAAAACATATAAAAACGATTAAAAGAAGAAAGTTATGAATTTCCAAAGGTGCGATGAATAAAAAAAGATGGCAACTCTGTGACGAATCTTGCGTGCTCCTCTTCATTTGCCCTGTACAAAAAAAAATTTCAATCATACATTCAACCTACTAATTATTGCAAATATGTTTTTTATACAACTCCTGTATAAATAAATCTATTCTGTCACTAAGGAAATGTAAAGTATTAAATTGTCTGTACAGAGCAAATTTTAAAGAGGAGCTTGCAAGTACTTTTGTGCAACACAGTGTTGCGAATTTGTGTTTCACGAACAAAAAACTTCAAAATGAAATAACTTTCCTAAGTTTAATCAGATATTGCTCAAACTAAACCACTAATTTGTTTCCCTCATTTTTCTTCTTTCATTGAAACCATCTTTAATATAAGGGTGGACTTCCCCTTTAAGTCTAAATATTTTAGAAGCATCTTGGATGGGTATTGAACCCTAAACCTTGTGGCTAGCTGACTGACCTGTATGTATGCCTGTCTCCTCCAGCACTTCCCTCATAGCAGTGTCAGGGATGTCTTCCTCTGGAGATGAGAAGCCTCCTGGAAACTTCCATCGAGCAAGCTGAAAAGAAAACAAAATTCAGACGATGTCTTGTGATTGATTGTATCCTTTTCTGGGCCACCGTCAGAGAGTTGGAAATCCTATAGGTTCCAGAATGCTGTAAACCAACTAGCTCATCACTATTTTATTGTAAAATGAAATTTAACATCACCTGCTGTCACTTACACATCCTATCCCAGTTTAGCTTAGATATTGCTTCAGGGATTATCTTGTAAGTACCATGTTGAATAATCTATCATAAATAAATAATATCAGTGAAAATTTGGGGGTAAAAAGTCTATGTACAATAAAACTTAAATCTGGCCACAGATGGATAGGCGATAATGTTTAAAAAAATGAAATAAGAATAACAGCCAATAAATATAACCAGAAAGTAGCACACATGGTGGTAAAGTCCGGCCCGTCAACTTACGTGTAGACATCCAATTAAAGACTAAATTACTAGAACCAGGGGTGATAGTGAGGATTATATACCTCACTTAAGAAATCCAGCCATCTGATTGGTCGAAGTTGCATTCATAAACTTTAACTATTTCTGTAAAATTCCCAATAACCATGGTTAAAACAGTTCTAAAATCCCAGTAACCATGGTTACCGGGAAAATAGTTCAGTCTCCATGGTTACCCCATAGGTTTACACGTTAAAAAATGGTCTGAGCGATCGAGGATACCGTACGTGTGCGAAGAATTGGTCGGTAATTTCAATACAATTGAATCTCGATCGATCTTACCGACAATTTTTATCTTGCATTGTTGACATGAAGACGAAAATAAACTTCCAAAAACAAAAAAACAACATCTGCCGATAGATCTTGATCTAAGTTCGTGCCAATATGCATTGCAAAAGTAAAAGAAGGGCCCGTTTAATGGAGCAGCCGCGAAGCATCCACCACGCGAAGCCGTTTTCAATCCATTTTAATGTATATATTAGAGAAAACTGCTCGGTAAGGTAACAGAACGCCATGGCCGAGCGGTTTAAGGCAGTGATTTTAGTTACATCACCTTCTGTACGCAAGAGATCGAATCCCATCTTCGACAAAAGTTTTTTTTATTTTTTATTTTATTTTTTTCGGCATATAAAAGTATTAATGACTGCTTTAATATTCGAGAAATAGTTGTTTTTTTACGCTCAAGGGAAGGTTAGAATTGTGCTATTGCCCCGAGGCGTAAGCAGTCATTAATACTATACTAAAAAAAAAAAAAAAAATTCTTCCCCAGGCTAAACTAGTAGTACATGCATGTACTTACCCTGTGCTTGTCCTGTATCATTAGTACTTCCTTCTTTTCTTCATTTAAGACAAAACCTGACAGAAAAATCAAAGAGAAAAGAGAGTATCAAGAAATGCAAGTTCTCTCTACTCATACTGTCACGTACATGTAGTACCCTAGCATGAAACTAAAACCACTCACAAGAGTCACAGCAAACATTTGTGTATGTACACATTCTACAAGAGCTATTCCCAGAATGATGGAGGTGCTTCATGAATCTTGTTTCCCTCTTTTGAAAAGAAAACTTCCACCTGTGAGATTGGGCACATAATATATGTCTCTGTGTCTTTGTGAACTGCATGATAGGGCAAGAATGACGTCAAATACTCATGCATTGTTAAAACCACTTGACATGCCTGAGCCTCACTTGACATAGCAACACACAATGTATGCTTCCCTGCATGCTAAGGCTCAACTGACATAGCAACATAGTGTGCATCTATAATAAATTACACATATTAGTCAAAGAAGTCATACAATGCATATGCAGATGCCAGCATGTTTATGCAAAAGATATTTAGGTAAGGTGATGACTTGGACTAACTGTCACCAAAAACCGTTTACAGCGTGTAGGTATACCTATATTCATAAACATAACACTGTAACTCGTGTCGAGAAATAGAAACCACTGAACACTTTATAGCAAAGTGCCCGAAATATTTAATTGAAAGATCCATGCTACTCGCTGAAACAGAATGTATAAATCCCGACGATATTAAGTCTGCGAAGTCGCTCAAAGCCAATTTCCCCGGAAAAGTACCCTCTTGATTTTAAAATTGTTGATCAATTCCTTTCTTCTTTCGAGTTTCCAGATTATTAATGTTTTCCCAAAGGGAGCCCCCTGTCTACACCCGAGAGACAGGACGGTGTCTGGACGGTGTCTTAGAACGGACAGGACTACGCGGTAACCTACGGGATACAAAAATCTACATTTTGTCGTATTTTCATTTTTTTTTCTTCATCTATTTTCTCTTTCATTTCATTTTAAGGGGGAAAAGCAGAAAAAGACTAGATGGAATTTTGACTGCGCGCAGTCGAAAATGATGCCTCCGCCATAGAGCAATTTAAACAAGTTTGGAGTTTAAATCTCCAGTGGTTCTTGAGATATCATGATAACAATCTCAATGTATGGAATTTCATAAGTTGACCTCTGTGACCCTTGACCTTTGACCTACGTGCTCCAAAATCTAATCAGATTGTCTTCCTATGGTGATACATACTATCATTAAGTTTGAAGTTTAAATCTCCAGTGGTTCTTGAGATATTATGATATGGTGATACATACTATCATTAAGTTTGAAGTGAAAATTCTCCAGTGGTTCTTGAGATATCGCGATAACGATCTCAATGTATGGAATTTCATAAGTTGACCTCTGTGACCCTTGACCTTTGACCTACGTGCTCCAAAATCTAATCAGATTGTCTTCCTATGGTGATACACACTATCATTAAGTTTGAAGTTTAAATCTCCAGTGGTTCTTGAGATATTATGATAACAATCTCAATGTATGGAATTTCATAAGTTGACCTCTGTGACCCTTGACCTTTGACATACGTGCTCCAAAATCTAATCAGATCGTTTTCCTATGGTGATACATACTATCCTTAAGTTTGAAGTTTAAATCTCAAATGGTTCTTGAGATATCGCGCTAACAAACTCAATACAAGAAATTTCATGAGCTGACCTCTGCGACCTGTGACCTTTGACCTACGTACTCAAAAATCTAATCAGATCGTCTTCCTATGGTGATAAATACTATTCCTGAGTCTTAAGTTTAAATCTTAAATGGTTCTTGAGATATTGTGATAACGGTCAAACGGGACAAACGTACGGACGGACAACCCGAAAACATGATGCCTCCGGCACCACCTTCGGTGGCAGAGGCATAAAAAATAATATTTTCCTCCAAAATGCTGAACTAAACCGGCCCTTACCATTTCGGCCCGAAAGTTGAGATAACTCAAATTTTTCTATATTTGCCACTACGCCCCTTTCAAAGAGATGTGGGGGTCAGGATCCATCTAATGGCATGTATATACATTCATTGTGGGGAAACTAGCCTATTCAAAAAATATAATTTTTTCCTCCAAAATGCTGAACCACCCCGGCCCTTACAATTTCGGCCCGAAGTTGTGATAATTCAAATTATTACAATATTTGCCCCACGCCCCTTTCAAAGGGATATAGGGTTCAGGATCCATCTAATCGCATGTATGTACATTCATTATGGGGAAACTAGCCAATTAAAAAAAATAATATTTTCCTCCAAAATGCTGAACCACCCCGGCCCTTACAACTTCGGCCCGAAAAGTTGTGATAATTCAAATTTTTACAATATTTGCCCCTACCCCCCTGTCAAAGGGATATGGGGGTCAGGATCCATCTAATGGCATGTATATACATTCATTGTGGGGAAACTAGCCTTTTCAAAAAATATAATTTTTTCCTCCAAAATGCTGAACCACCCCGGCCCTTACAATTTCGGCCCGAAGTTGTGATAATTCAAATTATTACAATATTTGCCCCACGCCCCTTTCAAAGGGATATAGGGTTCAGGATCCATCTAATCGCATGTATGTACATTCATTATGGGGAAACTAGCCAATTAAAAAAAATAATATTTTCCTCCAAAATGCTGAACCACCCCGGCCCTTACAACTTCGGCCCGAAAAGTTGTGATAATTCAAATTTTGACAATATTTGCCCCTACCCCCCTGTCAAAGGGATATGGGGGTCAGGATCCATCTAATGGCATGTATATACATTCATTGTGGGGAAACTAGCCTTTTCAAAAAATATAATATTTTCCTCCAAAATGCTGAACCACCCCGGCCCTTACAATTTCGGCCCGAAAGTTGAGATAACTCAAATTTTTCTATATTTGCCACTACGCCCCTTTCAAAGGGATGTGGGGGTCAGGATCCATCTAATGGCATGTATATACATTCATTGTGGGGAAACTAGCCTATTCAAAAAATATAATTTTTTCCTCCAAAATGCTGAACCACCCCGGCCCTTACCATTTCGGCCCGAAGTTGTGATAATTCAAATTATTACAATATTTGCCCCACGCCCCTTTCAAAGGGATATAGGGTTCAGGATCCATCTAATCGCATGTATGTACATTCATTATGGGGAAACTAGCCAATTAAAAAAAGTAATATTTTCCTCCAAAATGCTGAACCACCCCGGCCCTTACAACTTCGGCCCGAAAAGTTGTGATAATTCAAATTTTTACAATATTTGCCCCTACCCCCCTGTCAAAGGGATATGGGGGTCAGGATCCATCTAATGGCATGTAAATACATTCATTGTGGGGAAACTAGCCTATTCAAAAAATATAATATTTTCCTCCAAAATGCTGAACCACCCCGGCCCTTACAATTTCGGCCCGAAAGTTGTGATAATTCAAATTTTTACAATATTTGCCACTACGCCCCTTTCAAAGGGATATGGGGGTCAGGATCCATCTAATGGCATGTATGTACATTCACTATGGGGAAACTAGCCTAATAAAAAAAAATTATATTTACCTCCAAAATGCTGAACCACCCCGGCCCTTACCATTTTTGCCCGAAAGTTGAGATAACTCAAATTTTTCAATATTTGCCACTATGCCCCTTTCAAAGGGATGTGGGGGTCAGGATCCATCTAATGGCATGTATATACATTCATTGTGGGGAAACTAGCCTAATAAAAAAAATTAATATTTTCCTCCAAAATGCAGAACCACCCCGGCCCTTACCATTTCGGCCCGAAAGTTGTGATAATTCAAATTTTTCAATATTTGCCACTACGCCCCTTTCAAAGGGATATAGGGTTCAGGATCCATCTCATCGGATGTATGCACATTCATTATGGGGAAACTAGCCAATTAAAAAAAAAAAATATTTTCCTCCAAAATGCTGAACCAAACCGGCCCTTACCATTTTGGCCCGAAAGTTGAGATAACTCAAATTTTTCAATATTTGCCACTACGCCCCTTTCAAAGAGATGTGGGGGTCAGGATCCATCTAATGGCATGTATATACATTCATTGTGGGGAAACTAGCCTATTCAAAAAATATAATTTTTTCCTCCAAAATGCTGAACCACCCCGGCCCTTACAAATTTCGGCCCGAAGTTGTGATAATTCAAATTTTTACAATATTTGCCCCACGGCCCTTTCAAAGGGATATAGGGTTCAGGATCCATCTAATCGCATGTATGTACATTCATTATGGGAAACTAGCCAATTAAAAAAATAATATTTTCCTCCAAAATGCTGAACCACCCCGGCCCTTACCATTTCGGCCCGAAAGTTGTGATAACTCAAATTTTTCAATATTTGCCACTACGCCCCTTTCAAAGGGATGTGGGGGTCAGGATCCATCTAAGGGCATGTATGTACATTCACTATGGGGAAACTAGCCTAATCAAAAAAAATAATATTTTCCTCCAAAATGCTGAACCACCCCGGCCCTTACAATTTCAGCCCGAAAAGTTGTGATAATTCAAATGTTTACAATATTTGCCCCTACCCCCCTGTCAAAGGGATATAGGCGTTAGAATCCATCTAATTGCATGTATGTACTTTCATTATGGGGAAACTAGCCAATTTAAAAAAAATAATATTTTCCTCCAAAATGCTGAACCACCCCGGCCCTTACCATTTCGGCCCGAAAGTTGTGATAATTCAAATTTTTCAATATTTGCCACTACGCCCCTTTCAAAGGGATATAGGGTTCAGAATCCATCTCATCGGATGTATGTACATTCATTATGGGAAAACTAGCCAATTAAAAAAAAAATAATATTTTCCTCCAAAATGCTGAACCACCCCGGCCCTTACCATTTCGGCCCGAAAGTTGTGATAACTCAAATTTTTCAATATTTGCCACTACGCCCCTTTCAAAGGGATGTGGGGGTCAGGATCCATCTAATGGCATGTATGTACATTCATTGTGGGGAAACTAGCATAATAAAAAAATTAATATTTTGCTCCAAAATGCTGAACCACCCCGGCCCTTACCATTTCGGCCCGAAAGTTGAGATAACTCAAATTTTTCAATATTTGCCACTACGCCCCTTTCAAAGGGATATGGGGGTCAGGATCCATCTAATGGCATGTATATAATTTCATTGTATGGAAACTAGC